ACTGAACTAGATCCCTCAGTTTCACACACCTTATTTTTGGGAGGTCTCCGTTTCTTTGGAAGATATTCTTTGTTTGAAAATAACCCGAAGGCAACGTGGTTTCCAAATCTCAGGGAAATTCTTCCGTTCTGATGGTATTTAACCTGCTTGAAATGCTTTGCTCAAGCTGCTAAGAAAGAGTTAGGAGAAACCCTGTTTTCCCACATTTAACTAACTGACCTCCCTCGTCTTGGGGGACTACCATGAACTTTTTGCAAAAACGAAACTCGACCTTTCTGACATTTCTAAGGCAGGGTAAATTGAAATGCACCAAAAAAAAAAAAATCAAAATCAGATTTATATTCAGTCTTGTATCATCCATGAGAAACCAGGAAAATAAGAGTGAAATCTCAGTTCACCATCTTCACTGCACCTTAGAGATAATTCAATCAATAGATTTACATTTTGGTTGCTTCACATGCCCTTTAGTTTAGGAGGTGCTGCTGCCCGGCCTCGGCGCAGCGGCCGGCGACTGTTTCGGGGCCTCCGATGGGCTCAGTCTTCAGCAAGACCCCTGGCATTTCCAGATCGGTATCTGCAGCAGACACCGGCACAGCTTGGCTCTTTTCCTCTGCAGTGATTCCAAAGAAGTTTGAAGAAATCAACTGGATTTCTTCCAGACTTTCGCCCTTTCGCTTAGAGAAATATTGTGACTCAAAATCTGAAAATGAACAGTTTTTTTAAAAAAAGGGGGAGGAGGGAATTGGAAAACGTTGCCAAGAATAACACTCGTTGCCACCACCGCCGCTACATCCTCTCTCTCGTGTAATTCGCCCTACCCTTCCTGGGGAGGCGATGAGGGTTTGCTGGTACAAGGGTGGAAAGAAAGGGACCCGGAGAAGTTTGATAACTGAGCAATCTTTTGGCACTGACGCCTTTTAACTAGACTTGGCCAGGTAATGGGAAAGGGGGACCCGCAGACGTGGCTTCCAGTTGCGATTTGATGGTGCCCCAATTTCTCGCTACAACCGAACATCCTCCCACCTTTTCCCTCTTGGCCAGCACAAAGCCAGGGGCCTTCAGCAACGGAGCCGTGCTGCTGAGATAAGAGCCACGGCTTTCCAACTGCGTGGCCACCACCTGCAAAAACGCTGCTGCAAGCCTGAATTTTTCCAAATATTAAGGCAAAGCGCATTGCAAATTGTCCGTCACTTAGAGAAAAAGGAAAAGGTCTTCCTAGCGCTCATCTGACTCATACTGTAGAGGATACAAAGGAGGCAAAGACAAGGAGGTCTCAAAGAGTTTCCCTGGGAAATCCAAGCCTCACGGGGTTGAGCTGCTTTGCACGCGATCCCGGATGTGTTCTCCCCTCTTTTGGGGCATCCCCTCATTTCTGTGTGCTTTAGGGAAGTTCAAGCAAAACATGGATCATAACCATACTGTCCCTGTTTTCTGCTTTACAGCGTTGCTGACTCATTGCCTTATTGCAGTGTGTGTAGGCTACTTCTCACTAAAGGAAACAAATGCATAACGCGCTAATAGAGTGCTAATTAGGCCACTTAATTACAGTAGAAATTGTTCAACTCCTACGGAAAACTGCCTGCTATTTTCTTGTGTGTCTACATCCACGGGTAGCGAGAAGAAATGGCTCCAGCTACGTTTGACTTCACTTCCATCCAGGGCCACGATCTTGTCTTCAGGAGCAGTGCTGAGGCTTGCTCTAGCTGGCAGGCTGAAGCACCGCTTATCCTGCCTCTTCTAAGTCCAGGCCTTAGGAAAATGACTCTTTCCATCTCTTTTCCTTTTGGATACTCCCTTCTCCTCATTATTCCCAAACCTTTCACAAATCCTTTTTGTCTTGACCCTTCAGGTTCAACTCAAGCCCCAGGGGGAATTTTGGGGCTTCTTAAGTTACCCTTTATGGCCAGGGCCTCTCTGCTGCCCTCCCCATCCAAGCTGACATTGGTCCATGCACCAAAATGAGTCCGCTCCCCCTCACTTCATACCGATCTCAGGCACCATCTGTTCCTACATCTGTCACCTTCACGCTTCACACGTCCATCTCCCCAAAGAGCGCCGATCCCATCGCGGCACCCGAGACAGCCCACAAGGTGCCCTGACGAAGAAACCAACTACCCAGCCACAGCTGCTCTGAGAGGGGTTAGCTGGGCCGAATGAGGCGCCCAGAAGCCCCCCAGAGCTATTTACATCTAAAGTCTCCGGGGAGTCATTCTGTAGCTTCCCTTCATGAGGCCAAGCGCTGTTTCAAGAAGGCTTCACAGCCTGAGTCTGCAGAGCCTCTGCTGGCATCAATCAACTCGCCAGTCTCTTCCTTTTGGCCCAGGATTGCCATGTTGCACACGAAGGCAGTGCTGCACCATCATGATCCCCCTGCTGAGCATCCCCTAGCTGCTGACTGCTTATCTTGTTTAGAGGTAACTAACCTGTTAGCACCCAAACAGCACTCAGCAGATCTGCGATGTTCCACCTCCCCAGGCCCAGCTGATATTGTTATACTCTCTTTTCAGGGAACTTGTAAAGTTCTGCTTTGCAGGAGATAACCACCTCTCCCACAACAACGGCCTAAAACCAACCCAAATGGAGAATTTTTTTTAAGTGGTATGCAGCTTTTAGCAGTTCCTGGACAAAGATCTAAAAGATAGTACTGTTCCTGATGAAGTGGGGAAAAAAGCCTGATGCATTGCTGAACTGCCGATAACCCCTGCATTTATTTGCATTAAGGAGCTTTTAAAACAACTGACAACCACCACACACACTCGTTATTAGCAACTCAAATAACATGGTGCCACTGTGCAATTAGTCTTTCCCTTTCAGGGCTTCATCCATCATGCCAGGTGCAGTGCAGAAACGTTGCACGCAGCTGTAACAGCTTCATGCAAACAACAGTCTTACCAATGACCCAACAGCCCAAGCTAGAAACTCAGGACTACCCAAGGACCTACAATATTTTGCAGTCCATGTCACCAGGTCTTTGCTGCTTTGGAGCCTGCTGGCCTAGCACCTAGGTCAGGATCAACGTCCCATGTGGGATGGATGTATGGCACGGATGTACTTAGTGGAAGACACGGGACTAAGAACCACTGTCACCTCTGTGTATTCATACAATAGTGCTTCTCACTCGATTACTGCTTGGGGCTGGAGGAGGAAGTGTAACACAAACCTGTGCTGAAGACAGACAGCTCTGAGCGGACAGATGCCGGCTGAAAGGAGCTGGATGGTCAGCATTTGAAAACATCTAGTACCGCTACAAACTTGGTACGTTTGTACGCACAGCTGCTAGCCCCAGTGAGATCCTCACCCATAACTGGGGCTGTTTGGCTCTGCTTTAACGTAAAACAAGCTTCCTAGGTGCCACAGGCCGAGAACGCATCCCCTCAAAACACATACTGGCACAAAGACAAGTGAGTTAAAATGAACAGCCGGATGGCGCAGAAGGTCAAACCGTTCTCCTTTGCATAGTGCTCCGTCTTAAGAAACGAAATGCAAGAGGACCCCTGCATTATCCCACCAATACCGCTTCCTTTTCAACCTTACGTATTCTGAACTATCTCTTACAGACATCTAATCCTGCCCTGCTGCTGCTCTCAGGAACCAAACAAAACAGGCTGGCTGGGTAGGTGGAAACAAATCCTGTAGATAGGGCTGATTTCACAGGAGGGGAAGGGAAGCAGACAGAAGTAGCCTGAAGGTTAATTAGTGCAACACTAGCAAATGCTAGCAGGACTTTACATGTTGAGAATTAATTACGTTTCAGAGGATTGTTTCCTTTCCATGAATGCCGGGGACTACAAGGGGAAGGTTTTACTTGTCTCAGGGGCCTTTGTTAGTCTATTTTCTTTCTTGTACCAATCGAATATGATTTGTTTTAAACATATCCTAAACCGAGCTGGCACGGTGGCTTTAAAAACTCCTGCTGGTAACCAGAACATGCCAAGCACAAATGCCAACTCATAAACAAGTGTTTGTTTCTGAAGTCTTCAGGGCAGGAACCTCTCCACAACCAAACAGTAGGATCTGCTGAAAAGAAGTAAAACAGCAGAACAGGGAGCATTTTGTTTCTGCCGCGGGTTAGCAGAGAGAAATAATAAGCATGGGAGGGCCTTCACCCTCACTCCAGGACCAAACTCCGCAAGAGACCTACAGCAACAAGACAAATGCAACCATTCATCAGTGAAAAGCAAGACAGAACCAGCCCCAAACAGCTAAGATAAATCCCGCCTTACTGGTGCTCTAAGCTAAAGCCACATTGCTTTCCCATGTTCTGGTTTTGGTTATTTGTCCTCAGCAAAATTCATCTTGGGGAAAACTCTCAGCTCTTTCAATGAAAGTCAAACTTGTATTTACTAGAGTAAAAACTGGCTCCATTTATTCATTGCTAATGTGTGACCCAGCAAGACAAGGAACAGGCAGCATTTTGGATTGAAAAAGTGTTTTTTTACAAGCAGCTTCAAAATCTCATTTGCTTCTATGGCATTTTAACCTACTCCCCTGGACTCCTACTCTAGGAAGCAGCCTTTAACCAAGTTTTCCCTATACAGGAGCGAACAGCACAGAAAGGAAGACCTGCCCCTCCATGAAGATAAAAAGCTCCAAGCATACGGTACTATTTTTGGTTTTAAATGTCTTTGTTCCAGATCAGTCAAACAATATTCTCAACAAAGTCTTACCGAGTCCAGCAGCCAGGGGCAAAGGAGAGAGAAGGAAAAAGGCAATCCAGGGGCTGAGGAGGAGACTAGGGAATGCCTGCGGTGGGAGGGGTGCCGGGGGAGAAGGCCCTCGGTAACCTCGCCTTGGTTTACCAGCGCATCAGTTCTTAACTGCAGCGCTGAATTATTTATCTTTAACTGCTTACGCAGAGGTTTTACGCATGAAAAAAAACCTACTAGTCAGAATCACTCAGCCAGCCAACGTGCAGAGAGAAACTAGGGAGAGATGGTGACTAACCAATTACTTTTATTTCTGCTTTTGATTGAAACTCAAGGAAAAGCATTTGGGCCATGTGCATTTGACCATACATGACCTTTATTGGAGACAGGTGGGGTCATTTATTATACAGAAGTAACATCACACCATTCTCTTCCAATTTAATTCCTTTTAGTTTCCTTATAAATCTGTAGCAAAAGTGCACTTTTAACAGTTTTTAATCTATAGTATATATCTTTCAATATTCTCTCTCAATCAGGTATTTTATTTGTAAAAACGTATCGCCAGATATACAAAATACATGTCTAGTGTACTACATTAATTTTTTGTATTTACTGTTTAGATTATTCTTAACTCAGTGCTCTTTTTTTTTTTTATTTTTTTGCTAGACTTACTGATGACAGACTTCTGTTGGCGCCACCAAGAGAGGACTTATGACTCGTGTGCGAACAAGGGGAGAGGACTCTTAGCCAAGAACAATTTTCACACAGTAGGAACAAGATGACAAAAAGGTTATTGAATGTCTCTTCAAATGACAGTACTCTGTATAATTAAAAAAAAAAAACCCTCTGTAGTTTATCTGCTGGAGGAGGAGATGTGCGGAGAGAAGGGGACCTGCACCCAGCTGGAACACAACGATGACGACTAATTTGCACGCTGAAGAGAGGAGTTACTTGCTAACAGGATGTTTCTGGTCATGGTAAGGAAAAACAGATACGTATAGCCACCGCAAGAAACTGTTTGTGATCTGCTGTTTTCCTGAGGACAATATTTTGGTAAAATATTCTATATCCTGTACAAGCCACAGAATTGCATAAGTTAAACGTCCTCCGGAACAACAATCACTAGTGTATGCTATGACCGGCTGTACTGGGCACAACCACACCGAGGACAGCTCTTGCGTTATCTAACAAAATGAAGAAAGGAAAATGGTAATTTCCACTGGTAGTTTAGAGCCAGCTGCGACAAGCTTTGGCACAGTAACAGGACTTTTCAAAAAAGAAAATTACCTAAGATTCTCAGAGATTTCTTACAAACTCCCTTAGTCTTTTCTTTCTAGTTATCCTTGAGATTATAATATATACACACGTAACGGATAATTACTTAATTTCAGTCTTCAAAAGACTAACATACTTTCCTCTGTAAAGCAAGGCCTATAGAGGTAAAACAATCAGAAGCATTTTCAGGAGGTTATGAGTCCCAGGTCAACACAAACATTACCAACAGATGATGAGCAACATTTAGCAAGGTAATGTCAAGGGGGTTTGTTTTTCCTTCTTAAACGTCCATTATCTTGAAGACTAAGAACAAGTGGGTTAGTTATGTAAGTAATGCTTCCCTTGGTTAACCCTTCACAATTAGTGCTGTTTCTGTGTATTAGCATAGATTCAAATGCTAGTTGCATCAGTTTACAAGGTATCAAGTGAAATGTTGAACAGATTCTGTTTCAGAAAGAGGGCACTTTTGGTTTATGCAATAGCTCCAACAAATGCTGTAACTTTAAACTTTCTACAGCAACTGGTTGCCAGACATATTCTTCAAAACGTAACTGCAGATTCAAGGGGAGCAGAAAAGCAGCAATGTAGCTTTGAGTCAAAACTTCTGCTTCGAAAGAAAAAAGGAAGAATAGATTAGGCTGAATATGGATAAAGTCCTATACCTTCTGAAGAAGAAACAGAACAGTAAAAATTAAAATATAAAAAGAAACAGTGCTATTAGTGTTATCGAAAACCAGGATAATGCATAATGGGGAATTTACAATGCTGCATAGAGAGTTTTTTGTCTTTTTTTTTTTTTTTAAATTACAGACTTGACATTTCCAATATGTCTTAGCTTTGTACTGCTTCTCAAGTCTGAGTCACCAAAAATTTCCAGCAACCAGCTGCTGTTCATATCCTAAAATATGCCTTCAGCTGACACTGAATATTGAAATCGTTCTGCTAAAATACAGAAAAACGATGATGATAGAAACCAAGGTATAGCCTCAGGCCAACATTAAATGGTAAAAATTCTACAGTGCTACTTTTAAAACTCTTCTTCAGTTCATGAACAAATAAGCAGCCAGGTTTCAAGTAGAGGTAACACAGATTTTGGAAGATAGCACGTAAAAAAAGCCCAGAAAAAAATTGGAGCAAAAGCTCTTCCTGTTACGGCAGTCAGCACTAATCCTCCAAGAAATGGCAGAGAGAAGCCTTTATCCGCCCTGCTGGATCTGTCCTGGTCCTACAGCAACAATGAGGAACTGCTTCTGCTGTCACAAATATGTTCCATTTGGACATATCTTGATCCCTTTTTTCCTCTTATTTAGACACATTTATCTTTTGTCTTTAGTCTCTCGACTGGTAGAAGAGGATATATCCAGATTCTGAGTTTTTGGAAATGTCTGATGTTAACCCATAGAATTCTTCAATGGCCTGCGCATCGATTTTCTGAAAATTAACGAGAGTTAAAATTAGGCTCAGACAAAACACCACTTTAAGAATCCCTTTCCCAAACATTACTTTCTGTTTTCTGGGGGTGATGTTGGAAAGCCATGCAGTAATAATAAAATGATAGAACAAGCATTTTCCCTGCTTATTAACTATGAAATATTGAAAAAAAGAAATCAAGACAAAAAAACCTTCTCAGAAGCGGTACACTCTTAAGAGGGACTATGGCAAAGGGATTCATAAAAGTGTATTCCCAAAAATTTGCATGATGTTTTTTATTTTTGCCTCCTCGTTCACATTGGAGTTACCTTTCCCAGCTATAGGTCTGCAATGTAGATGAAAAACAGTTAAAGATCAGCAAAGAAAATTATTGCATAATTGGGAGTACATAAGGACCTTTGTGAGCATATTCAACATTCAGCTAAAGTAACTTTAGATTTTAAAGATCTTGCGGCCCTCTTACGTGGGGAAGTCCTGCAACAGCAGCTACTAACTGTACCATAAAACATGTGGACCACATCTGACAATCATCTGGTTTTATGAGCGCTTTCCTTGCGTTCGGATTTGCTAGTACAATGCCGACGAGAACATCACCACAAGGTTGGTGCTTTAAGATAAATAACTTGTTCTTCATATTAACAGAAATAAACGACTTCTTTACATTTAAAGTTGTGAATACGTGCAGAAAAGCAGTTTTTCATTTTATACGCCAAGAAGCCAGGCCCATAGAGCGTTACGTTTTAAAGATGCAAGTTCTACAGTCTTGATCCAACTCCTGAGAACGGCTGGTTTCACATTACTGAATTTGATTCTGCGATCAGGGGAGAGCAAGTGCAGAGATTGAAGCACTGAAATAAAACACTCGCAATGACCTGTATTACTCAGCAGCCCACTGTGTTTTAATATTTTAAAACACCTTTAAGACTCTGGATCCACAGAAACGATCGGCTGAAGTAGCCCGACACTGATGTGGAGGACCAATGGGAGACTGGCCTGGAATTAGCAAAGCAACTTCTCCTTTTATTCCCCAAGGAATAAAATTGAGGAAGGAAAAAAAAAAAGTTCAGAATATTAGAGAGACACTGGGATGATCAAAGAACTCCTCTGTTTTGACTGGGAGAGGGAGCAGCAGAGACCAACCTCTGCTTACATTTCAGAGGAAGGGACCACGCTACGGCTCCTTCAAAGAGCCTCCTCTGCTGCAGAATCCACTTGGCAGCATGCTGAATCCCTGCTCACTGAGCGGACTTTAGCATCACCAGCAAACCCAAAAGCATTGGTTTTTTTAAGTGGCACTGTCAAACAACCTGCAAGTTTAGGCCATTCTTTCACTATCCCTTTTGAAGCACTGCATATGAGAAAAATAGGCATAGTCAGTAAGTTTCCAGAAGATGTATCAACTCCAAGACATAACAGCAGAAAATTCTCCTTTGAATAGCTTGGTCAGACACCTTCCGTTAAAATAATTTTGGGGGGAAAAAAAAAAAAAAGCAGCTGCTTTGTCTTTCTCTCTCCATTTGAAGACTTCAGAGAAGTTGAAATACTGCAGGGAGGGCTTTAGGACTTCCACACAATTTATTAACATAATGCATGTCTACTGCTAACTGTTAGATACGTATTTTAATAGAAAAACAGCAAAAGAATATTCTTTAGTCCTTGTAATGTATTTAGCAGACAACTCAAACATTTTACTAACTTGCCATGTAATCAAGTCCATTTCCACTACTCTTTCCACTCATTCTGAATGCAACTCAAACATCTTATATAGATTAATTCATTCTATAGATATTTTTAGTTTGTTTTATCATGGCAAACTGACTTCCTTTTTCAATTCCACTATCCACAGAAAACACAGTGGAAACGAGAAGATTATACAGACCTCCTTCTTCCTCTGTCCTCAGCTTGCTACGTATGCTGTGGACAACAAAGTTTTAGCCAGTTGCGGTTTTTAAGTGATAAAGAGTTGGTCGTTTCACAACTACATTTAAGATTGCAAAGCCTCACCTGGCATTAAGATGGTTTTTCATGTTACTGAGCTTTGCTTTCCTTTGCACATTTCTACACAATTATCTGAGTTTCCCAAAGCAAATCTTTTCCCTGTGTACCATTCACAACACAGCTGAATGCTGCAAATCTCTGACAAATTTTTAAGCTAAGATATATAATCATTCTCACCCTTTTCTCAATTTGGAGAGCTCCTTGGATAGACACTTCTCCCTCCGTTTCAGATAAACATAGTCACTGTGATGTATCGCTTAGTTGCTCTAATGACAACTTGCCAAACCAACCACAGATCGCTTACTCAGGTTTCTCAATTACTTCGCTTGGCACACTATCCCCTTTGAACTGATGCGCCCCTTGGATTTGGCAAAATTGCTTTTCACATACGCTGTAGTATGTTTTGTTATCAACTGTCTTCAGTTTTAATTGAAAACCGACCTTCCAATCAAACCCAAATAGAGAAATACGACTTCACCACTTCCATGGCATTCAACAGAGCAGTGAGAGTAAAGTACTTCCTGTTGACACTTCAGAGCTATTAACTCACATCACTTATCAAAAATACAACAAAGCTTTTCAACTGTACGGAAGGGGGAAACGTTTTCTCCTGCGCTGTGTTACACTTTTAGCATCTATATAACAATATAGATATATATACAGGAACAAGAGCTTTGGACTCATCTTCTCAAGTCTGCTGACTAGTACTTGTTTCACTATGCACCCAGTTCATAGTTAGAATGTTAAGCGTCCAAAGCTTTAAAAAACAAAATTGTTTGCCTGTTCTGTGAGTCTCTGAAGAGTAGGAGGCTTCCCTGGTGAGCCCCCCAAACATCTCCATAATTCACATTTTAGGGGTTTTGGAGCCACTCAAATTTTGAGGACAACTTCTGGATTGTGATACACAGCAATACATTTCCTCTGCTGTCACCTTAACGCCAATCACAAATAGTTTGAAAACAGTACTTGGTTATCTTCAGAATAGATGTTTAAATCTCTTTGGGCAGCAGATGGAACTGGTAACAGCAGTTACAGCTTCGCTTTATTTTTTCAGTAAAAGCTAGAGTAGAAGTCGATCTCCAGAGCTGAGGACTAAGGAGAAAGAAGAGATGAGCAAAACTGCAGCTACTTCCTCTAGCAGCCGGTATTATCAGCAGTCTCCACTACTCTGTTCTCCTTGATCACCGAATCACCAGAAATTCAGGTGAGTTCTAGAGAGTCTAGGCAAGAGAACAGGTGATACTTCCTAGGCAGAGGAAAGTGAGAGCGTCATGCTTAGCAAACACTTGGAAGGCAAGAGCAGACATGATGGGTAGTCAGAGAAAAAATCCTCTGGGACAAACCCAGTAGGTTTATGCTACACTACTTGTTTATGCTACACTAATCCAAAGTGGTTCAAGGAGCAACTCTGTTCCTATGAAAGGTCCAATGATAAGACTCCTATGCAAAACTCTTGCATGCAATTTTTCACGCCCACCACGAGGAAGAAAAACAAAGCCTAACTTTTATAGAAAACAAAGACCATGCGCACACAGCAAAAGCTCAAAGGAGAAACACTGAAAAACACAAAAAGTAGAAATTTCAGATCAAAGAGCTTTATTTTTACAGCATTTTTAGTGAACTCTGTTAAAATGAAATTGGAAAAAAGAAAAAAAAAAAAGCCATGACTGAAGTTAGAAAAGCAACTTAAGAAAAAAGCATCCCTCCAGGAGAAGAACTACATTCTACCTTCCTTGTGACAGCTCCTTGAATTTATTATCCAATACCAGGCGGTACACATGTAAAAGCTCTGTTTTGATACATCTATAAAACTGCCAACAGTGTTTGGAGATAAAAAGGAATTTTGTTTCAACCTATAAGCTACTATTCAACATAGAAGTGATTGACAGAAAACAAATAAAGAACAGCAAGACAGTTATTTTATAGCTACTTCTAAAATGACAAGCTTATCTCCTGGATGGAAAAGACGGTGAATGTTTACATTTAAAATATTAAGGTGAGCATTATTTTCAGAAATGGCGGAAGTGTGTAATTATGTCAGCTACGACAGAGGAAAGTAACACTCAGAATATAATAAACGGGGAAAGATAACTCGCCGTAGTCATATAAGCTGTCCAAATCACTAGGCAGTCACTCCTAACGCTCAAAAATTAGCCAAAGATTAAGAAGAAAAAAGAAAAAGCTATAACATCTCTTTATTTCAGCACAAGCAAGGATCTTGCACATTGAGACACTTCGCATCAGGCCCTGAACCTGATCATGAGATCTCAGAGGCAAACAGTACATTTTCACCTTTATATAGAGAGAGCAGTTCTATTGTGCTGTTTGATATGTGGTTGATAACTATGTGAAAGATATGGATGTATAAATATTCTGGATATCCGTATTTATAGATATGTTAATAGAAAAGTTAAGGAACAGCTTGCTTGAGTACAATCTTTAAACATAGTCACCAATGGTCCAAACGTCTATGTGTATCCTTAGGATCTAACCACCACAGGCCTCCAAAATCTTTTTCACACTCT